GAGACTTTCGCAAAAGGCAAATATTTATGTCACCTAAAACTATGACCTCATCGTCTTTTGTTAATTTATCAAAAGTTTCGGAGAGTCTTTCAATAAAAGTATGATCTTTAGGGGGTCTGTAGTAGACGCCAAATGTAATTGGTTTGGTTCGTGGTAAAAGGACATCGACCCACAATGATTCAACGTTTTCATATTAAAGTACAAGCCCTACTTTTTCATTTTGAGTTTAAATCAAAATGATAATAATCTATGATAAATCTTAAAACTGAGGTGAAAATTCGTCCCCATCCTTTTGCAGTGTGAAGAAAGCTTATTTTGTATTATCTTGTTTCAGAGATCATGTTGCATGTTTTTGCTGGTTCTCCTAAAAAGATGTTTAACACGAAAAGAATCAACTACCCACAATGAGCACACTGTTTAATATCGTTTTTGTTAACCGCTGGCAGGGACTTAGCCTTTGCTTATACCGAATTATATTTCCGGTATCATTTTATAGAATATATCGTTGTCTTCGTCTCGGAATTACTGTTAATACGAATAAATCAAATCAAATTGTACTTTGTTGTGTTCAAAGAGTTCGACCCATGTCATTTAACCTGATCAGTGTTTGTGCTCAAAGTGTATAGCAAGATGGCAGGGACTTAGCCTTTGCTTATACCGAATTATATTTCCGGTATCATTTTATAGAATATATCGTTGTCTTCGTCTCGGAATTACTGTTAATACGAATAAATCAAATCAAATTGTACTTTGTTGTGTTCAAAGAGTTCGACCCATGTCATTTAACCTGATCAGTGTTTGTGCTCAAAGTGTATAGCAAGATGATCCGCCACATCTTTACTCTGAACTTTATACTTTGGACAAAAATAATGGGTTAAGGTAGTGATCGGGTTTAAGGTTAGGGTATCTGTTAAGATAAGGTTACAGACCTATAGGCCCGAATTCACAAAGGAGGTTTGTCGACAAACCTTGGTTTTTGTACGTCATATGACGCGTTTTACGCGGTTTTTTACAAACTTGGTTTGTAAAAACGCGTCGAAACGCGTCGTATAACGTACGGAAACCGACAAACCTCCTTTGTGAATTCGGGCCATAGTGTTCGGCAGTGGCGTACGCAGGATTTTAAAATCGGTCCCCCAAAAATCGCAGCGACTCAGGGGGGGGGGGGGGGGGGGGGGGGGGGGGGGGAAGGGTGGACACTTTTTTTTTTGGTCTCGAATTTAGTAAATTTGACAATTTGTTCCGTGGGGGGGGGGGGTCACCTTTTTTAGGTCAGCCATTGGCATAATGTTTTTTTTTAAATAATAATAATTTTTTTTTTATTAAAAAAAAAAAAAAAAAAATTAAAGGGGGGGGGGGGTTTCAGAAAAAACATACACATTAAAAAAAACTCAAGGGGGAGGGGGGGGGGAGGGGTTAACCCCAAACCCCAACTCTGCTCACGCGCCTGGTATTCGGTCGATTTTAAAATCATTTGTCGTACAATCTCTTGGAAAATGTTGTCCATGTGCTTTCCATATTTGAAATACTTGGTATAATTTAATTTTATTTGTTACCATCACAACAATGATTGAGTGAATTCTCGTCAGCAAAAAAGAGTGATATTAGGACGAAATTAATTCGAAACGAAGAACAAAATTGAAGTTTATCCTGATAAGAACAAATTTTTAAATAATGGATCGTTCCTCCTGTTTTCTTCGTTTTACTTATACAATCCTTTCGTTTCTCAACACTATACCATCAAATGCAAATTGCTTAGAACTTCACATCTCTCATGATCTTCAAACACATATCTCGGAAAATATAACAACGAGAAGACCATGAATATAATTTCTTCAATTATGTTAATTTTCTCTATTAATATTTCTGTGTATAATAATGCTATCATATGTTGACCTTATTTCATTGTTACTTGTTCATTTAATATATCAAATATTTCCCAATATCATGTTTTAACAAATCATTTATTAGGAAAGTAATGTGTTTGACAAGAAAAAAGGTGCATCAAATCTTTTGGATTACTTACATGCAGTTAAGTTTAAGACTTCTTAGCGATTAAATATAAGAGTAAAGTATGTAACAAACTAAAGCAAAAGCTACTTTTAGTTATATAATATACACAACAACAAAAAACATTTGTATCTCGCCTATTAACGTGTTGTATATTCTGATACTGATGGGATAAAATTCATTGAAGTATTTAATTCAACATTTCTATTGATTTCTTTTCGAGGGAATACAGTGGTATCATCTCATCCTACATGAAAGAATTACTGGATCCACAAAAAATCTTGTGCTCAACCGTATCTCTTTCTCTTTCAACAAGAATCGGCTGAGCTAGACTAGGATGAAAACTGGGAATTTTCGAGATGGAATAGAAAACCTCTACCCCATCAGTAACAGTCACCTTTTGCATGACGATTAAGGCCTGATATAATGCAATATTATGAAAAAAGGAACACCGTTTTTTTATATAAAAGACGCTGGTATTTTTAAAAATGATGTTCGTTTACTATAAATGACGGAATTAAAATTGTTTTAAAGAAGAAGAAAGAAATACATACATTGACATCGTTCTGCTTGACGGTACGATTCAACTTTTAAGGCTATGGTAAAAAAATTCCATCCACAGTATTTAGGCCATTATGATTTTTGAATAGCTGAAAAATTATTCAATAAATATCTTTCTATCCCTTAATGAGAATCCGTTTGGATGTAACCTCAAATAATTGATGTTTTTTATCAAGCATGTAGAGAAAGATTCAGGCATAATTTGAAGTCCATGTTTTTTTTTTTCTTCTGAGAAGAGTTGAGAATGTGTATTATAAACCATACACACATGGACTATATATATTGAACTACCCCTGCATGGTCACTCCGTATGTCATAATGATAAAATAATTTCGTGATATAATCTTTAAAAGTGCATTTTATCAAATCTATAAAGACATAATTACATTCTAAACGCAAAACATCTCCGTAATAATATAATATACAATTAAGTAAAACGTAAAGTCTTTCAACAATTCAGCTCTCTTTTGTGCCAACATTTCTAAAACATATGAAAAGAAACTGCTTTATAAACTCATGCTTTTCATACCTTTTAGCAACGAAACTCAAACTGCGTTGAATATATACAATACTTCATAACATTAAGTATACACCCTTTACAAATGTAAATAATTCAGGATAAAAAACTTTGTATAAATCTATAAAGACATAATTACAGTCTAAACGTAATACACCTCCGAAGTATTATAATATATAATTAATTTAAACGGTAAGTCTTTCAACAATTCAGCTCTATTTTGTACTAACATTTCTAACCCTAATGAAAAAAAATTCATAACTTTTGCAACGATAACTAAAACTCTGCTGAGTATAAACAGTATCACATAACATTGAGTATAGACCCTTTACAAATACATATTTAATTCAGGATACACTTTGTAAGCAGCTCTACGACGTACCTTTCACTCCTGACAAAAATCACTCTCAGATACTACGCGTATTTTCGTCGTCATGATCATGATCGTCTTCGTTATCATCATTGATAATTGTTATTATTATTTGTATCATTATTATTATCATCATCGTTATTGTTATTATTATTACTATTATATCATTATTATTACCATCATCATTATCGTTATTATTTTGTTATCATCATCACCGTCATCACCATCATCATCGTCATCATTACCGTCATTATACATTATAAAGCGATTTATTAAACTCTCATACAAAGGTTTTATAGTATTTTTAACCAATGATAGAAACATCCTCGGAATGTGCATATTAAACATTACCTGTACAATCTATTTCAAAATATAGCTCAAACACTGATACAAATGTAAAAATATAGTACTTCAAATTTACCAAGGTTGATAGTTTCTTTTGATGTTGCAAACTCCCTATGAAAAACAAAATTCTTCCAGATAAGGATGTTCCATCAGACAAGGAGAAAATAAAGAAATAAAAAGAAATGAAAAGGATGAGCATTAAGATGTGGCCTAACGGATGTGTAATAATAATAATAATATTCAGCTTTTATATAGCGCTTGATACATCTCGGACATCTGTAAGCGCTTTACAGATGTACTATTACCCCGGTCATTGGATTCAGTGCTTGCCCGCACACACTATATGCACAATCTCCGCTCCCTGGGGAGCATTCCAGCCAGGCGTGACTTGACGTTCAAAAACTGTTTGACCAACAATGACGGTCGCATCCTACCGGGTACCCATTTTAACACATAGGTGTATCGGAAGCTCATTCAATACAGTTGGTGCATCAACTGTATATGTGTTTATTAGGTAAGTGAGGTGCATCAAACATAATACGTGGGAGCAAACAGAAGATTTAAGATGGCGCGAAATTGGGTTTTTTAATACAGAGATAAAATGTTGGTAGCATGAAGGCAATAATTCTGATTTGCAAACTACCAGAAGTAAAACTTATTTTTGTATTTAGATTATTATTGTCATTATTATTGTTATTTTATATATATATATTAAAACATTAAACATCAAAATAAAGAGAAAACAAATCTGCCTCTTGCATTTAAGAATAGTTTGCGTACCTTTAAGAATAATACTTGGGGGATTCTACAGACTGGGGGGAAATAGCCGGGGTAAACAAAAACAATGTCGGGAGAATGATATTTGTAACCCTCTTATATACACTGATAAGACGATGAATATGATGCATGCTGACATCATAATAACAATACAATGAATTTCCTCCTCAATAAGTATTTCGAAACACAAATTATTCCATTGTAGGACATTTATAATAATATTGATAACAATAGAAGCATTCTTATATGTTGCAATAAACCTTAAAAAGGTTTCAAAGCGCTTAAGAAAAATTAGAAACGTATAAACTTTGATATAAATTTAGAGATTAAAATACATATTTGGAATTATTCTGTTCATATCAATATAATTCTTAACTGACTGACTGTAAACACATCCATTGCCTATACAAAAAAAAGTGCTTTTTGTTTGTGCATGGCTGACAGAGGGGCATTATCACGTTTACATGCCATATAGCATGCTTCTGGTAACTCACTTCTACGTTTGGTTTTATTTAATTTCATCACATTTCCCAATTCTCGTTGGTCATCGTTTCATGGACAATTCTACCTTATTCTAAGCAAGGTTAAGATCTTGATAAGAGCTTTCTTGATGGGTTAAGTCTAGATCTTGGTAGGTATTTGTACTGTCTGGTGGAGGTGTTCCAGGATTCACTTCAAGGTAATCATTATCTTCAGGAAACTGGTTAAGATCTTGATAAGAGCTTTCTTGATGGGTTAAGTCTAGATCTTGGTAGGTATTTGCACCGTCTGGTGGAGGTACTCCAGGATTCACTTCAAGGTATTCATGTTCTTCAGGAAACTGGGACTGACCTGTCTCTGGGTTACGAGCTCCGGGGGACAGTGAAGGGTTAACTGGTGCTTGAGATTGAGACGAATATCCTGGAGGAAGCACTGTCACTGTGGATGGTGCGGTAGCAGGTGGGGGCAGATATGAGATAGGGGTTCCCTGGGTCACAGCAGAAGGACTGGCAGTATATTGATTGGTGGTTGTAGATCCATTGTTGATAGTGGTGAGTTCTGTACCATGCGACGCGATGTGTGTAGGAATCGGCTTGGTATTACAAACTCGACAGACCACCACAATACCGATGACGAGTAGCAAGAATAAAGATATCCCGACGAATGACATTGTTCCAATAACACGTGGTGATGTTATTGGGCCTGTTAACAATGACAAAATAGTAATAGAGAATTTGACTTTTGATCTAAATACGACATTATTTACCTTTACAATTTTCTGCCGTTTTAGCCGCTGAGATCATAAGTTTAAACCTCAACATAATTGTATCACCAATACAGAAAAAATTGTCATGATAGTATGTTTGAAGGTACTATTCAGCTTTTAAAAGTGCATTTTTGAAGAACTCAGTCGGAAAGATAATGGGAAGTTATCTGGGTGGGGATACTATCGGAATGAAATTGTCATTATTGTATTATTATTATTATGATTTATACCTGTATGTAAGAGTAGAAAAGAGATAGGAGATAGTGATAACTATATCCGTCGGATCTCTCATCCGATGGATCCCCTCGAAGTGGTATCTATGACTTGGGATAATTTTATCTTTATTGAAACTAAATAATAATGTTTCCTTTTAAAATGCTGATAACTCTTAAAAATGCCAGGAATGTCATTTCCGTACATTCTCAGACAAACCAGGCCTACAATGACCATGAAATAATATCAAATGGCACGTTTACTAGTACATTCTGGCAACTTTCTCTACAAATTGTGCTTAATACCACGTTTAAGGGCTCAAAACTTCTCAAAATGAAAGCAACACGTAGAATAACATTAACACTAAAAGGCCGGGCTATTTGAGGTCTGAGTACGGCCGGGGGGGGGGGGCATTATGATTATCATTTTGATTTAAACTCAAAATGAAAAAGTAGGGCTTGTACTTTAATATGAATACTGTAGTCTCGTAGTCTTTATCATCTAGATGGAACTAGGCCTTAGTCATGAGCAAAAATCACATATCATACTCTTTTTCAGTTTCCATTTATAGTAGTTTTTTTAGGAAAAATGACGTTTCCTTAGGTTTTGTACACAAATCATGAAAATGTGCGATTTTCGGGCTGACATGCAAAGACAAAAGGTCACGTGACCTTGTAACCGTAGGTCCGATTTTCAAAAAAAATCTTTAAAAAGTTGCGCAAGACTCGGTAAAAAAAAAGTCAGCAAGCTGCGGGGCGCCATCCATATGCGTTCCCGAACAATCAGAAAAATAGTGTAGGGTGGGGGGGCATGATGCCCCCTCCCCGGGCCTTATTAGGGTTAAATCAAACAAGAAACAATCCATTCAACATCTGCAACACTCACGAAACAGTCAAGTAAATTGCAAAAAACCTAGTAAGGTGTTTGCGGCCAATTTCACACTTTTTTCATTCAAGTTCATATTCCGGGCATTTGAATTTGTGCAGCGTTGAATCAGATTTCAAATTCGAAATCCGTTATTCAAATTCACTATCCGTGCAATCAATTGTTAAATCGGGCCATTCAAATGTTAACTAAGCCCCTTTCACACCGGAGCTGCGTAGAGTTTGTAGTGTGGCGTACCGAGTACGTCGTAATTAGGCTACGTATTTATGAAAAACATGTTGCTTTCTCATAGTCACTGCGTAGATTATGCGTAGGCTGGCGTACGATCGCGTATAGTTACGTAAATATATAGGCACCGCGTACCTTCGAAACTCTCCAAAGAAGAAGCGTTGGACACATGTCCCCTCTCTTGCTTGCCTCGTGTTTGGAAGAGATACGTAGATGACACCTTCATCATAGTTCCCATCTCTGAAACAGATAAGCTGCTTAAACACATGAATAGCCTTGAACCAACCATCCAGTTCACATCAGAGATAGAGTGTGAAGGGAAGATAGCATTCTTAGACACTCTAGTTCATAGACACGACAACCATAGGCTCTCCACCTCAGTCTATAGGAAGCCTACCCACACAGACCAGTACATAGCGTTTGACTCTCACCATCCCATATCGGTGAAGAGAGGTCTAGTGAAATGTCTATTTGACAGAGCTTCACGCATTGTGACAAGTCCACACCAGCCATGCAAAGAACGGACCCGTGTTCGCAGTGCCCTGAGTCTCAACGGTTACCCACGCCGTTTTATACACAATACCAAGAATAGATCGTCAGAACCCAGGGATCAGAAGGTATACAAGACTTTTACAGTCTTGCCGTACATTGATGGGGTCTCCCAACAACTCAATCGCCGCCTAGAGAGCCATGGCATTCGAACGGTTTTCAGATCAGATACCACCCTACGTCAACAACTTACACGCCCCAAGGATCCAATTCCTCCACATAGACGGGACGGCATTGTGTACAACATCCCTTGTAAAGGATGTGATAGATCCTACATCGGTGAAACTGCCCGTCCGATAAAAGAAAGAATCACTGAGCATAAGAGGGACGTCAGACTCCGTCGAACTGACAACTCAGCCGTAGCCGAACATGCTTGGGATAACCAGCATCAACCAGACTGGGACGGGGTTCAGTGCCTTTCCCAGGAACGGCATTGGTATACACGGAGGGTAAAAGAAGCTATCAATATCCGTCTCAATCCTAATAATTTCAACAGAGACAACGGGATCGATATCCCCGAATTTTGGATGCGGACGATACGACGCCATGACACTCGCCGTCCTGCCAGCCAACAACGGTCGATTCCATTCAGCAGACGGCCCGAGCCAGCGGCCCGTTGATTGGTTGAGTACCGTATGCGTCGGCCAATAGGCCTGGTGCATCAGCCGAACCAGCGGCCTCGATCACCGTGTGCGTCGACCAATAGGCATTGGGCGTTATTGTTCCAATTATCGATCGAATTATAGACCGCTCCGCCGGTCCTCCCGTAAAGTATAAAAGACCCTTGCTTACAATAGTTAGATCCGATTCAATACCAATCCTTAAGGATATGTGCAGGTGCCCTACCGTTAACTTCACTAGCGTCTCTCCAAGTAGAAATGGGAGAAGCCCCATTAGATCTTAGGAGACAACAACTAGCCCTAAAATATAAGCACAGCATAGAACAACAACCTAAGCATCCAGTTTTTCCAAGTTTACAACCTTGTTGGCAGTATCAGTATATGAAAGGAAAACAGTGCAACAAACCGTTTGGTTATCGAACAGAAAACTCTAACAAACACCTTTCTGTAGAAAAATTAAAACCCCTAAACTTCCCCCCATGGTTACTAACGGAGCCTGTTATATCAATTGAATTGGCTAGTCAGATAAACAAATCTGATAATCCACTGCTTTTGCAACAGAGAAGTTTAGAGATAATAAACACAAAATGGTTTAGCCAACTTCACATATTCACAGATGGGTCCAAACTCCCTAAAGAAGGACGTTGTTCTGCAGCTTTCTATGTTCCTTACTTCGCGTGTAAACAATCAAAGAGATTGTCTGACGGAACATCCTCATATAGAGCTGAGCTGGCGGGGATAATGCTGGCCCTCAATTGGTTACACCAGTTAGATACTTTATATGTAGGATCAGTTATATTCAGCGACTCATTAAGTGACTTAGTAGCAATAAAGAACAAAAAAGAAGAGAATTTTATTTCAGAAATACTTGTAAGCTTATCCCACCTTAAATTAAAAAATATAAATGTTAGCTTTGAATGGATTCCCTCCCACTGTGGAATAACAGGAAATGAATGTGCGGATTTTCATGCCAAGGCAGCCCTCAGCAAACACATTGAAATAACAAACAGCCTTAATATCTCAGAAGTGAACAGCATTTTAGAGAGGCATTTTACCGAGCTGTGGCAATTAAGATGGCAGGTTTCTCCAAATACACACTACAAAACAATCCAAAAATCGGTTTCACAAACCTTCAATTGAAAACTAGAGCGAGCAAAAGAAAAGATAATACGTCGTTTACGACTTGGACACATCGGTCTTAACGCGGATCTAGGCCGAATGGGAATACATCCAACTGGACACTGTAACTCGTGTCGAGAAGTAGAAACCACTGAACACTTTATAGCAAAGTGCCCGAAATATTTAATTGAAAGATCCATGCTACTCGCTGAAACAGATTGTATAAATCCCGACGATATTTTAAGGCTCTTAAATTCATCAGAAGCTAACATTCAAAACGCTTTATACCGTTTTGTTGTAAGAACGAAACGTTTCAATTAACCCAAAATAATCGAGCTTTTTTTTTTTTTTTTGCACCACCACTCACAAAAGCCCACATTTTGTTTGGTTCCCCTAAACATTTTAATTATCCAACGCAACATGTATTATAAACACCACTCTATCACAAAATTGTTTTTCTTTTAATCGAAGGTTTATTAAAGTCTGCGAAGTCGCTCAAAGCCAATTTCCCGGAAAAGTACCCTCTTGATTTTAAAATTGTTGATCAATTCCTTTCTTCTTTCGAGTTTCCAGATTATTAATGATTTCCCAAAGGGAGCCCCCTGTCTACACCCGAGAGACAGGACGGTGTCTGGACGGTGTCTTAGAACGGACAGGACTACGCGATAACCTACAGGATACAAAAATCTACATTTTGTCGTATTTTTATTTTTTATTTTTTTCTTCATCTATTTTCTCTTTCATTTCATTTTAAGGGGGAAAAGAAGGAAAAAAAAGAAAAAAGAGAGAAGCCTATATTTAATGTTTATTTTTGATACTCTAATTAAAAAAAAAAAAGAAAGAAAGAAATTAATATTAAAAAGAAAGGCGTTGGTGATAATAGTCAGGTCTTGACTGATTGCCATTACAACAAAAAACAACAACAACTAGTTTTTATCACCTGACGAAGTATCGCAGTAGCATACGAAACGTCGTGATCTTTTAGATTCCTTATTGACCACATTGCGAGACAAACGAATATCACTAGCGATATTATTTTCGATATTATCTTTGTTCATGCTCATTTGTAAACTCTCTCGGCTGTAAAAAGTTAAACACGTGAATATAGAACTTGCCATATTACTCATAATTGTATAGTGTCATATCACTGGATGACAAAATGATACCCGGTTACTTTTTCCCTTTCAACTCCTCAAATATTGTAGAAATATCAAACTTCTCGTGGCATGTTCAAAATATATAAATGCATATACCAAGATCTAAGATGAGAAAATTTCAAAAGTTTTGTTTATTTTTGTGGTGGACTCAGTGTTATGTCAGAGTATTGTGAAATTGTGTATGCTGATCTGACTGGTATTCAGCTTATCATATCTGATTAGGCCTACAAAACAAGAGATTCAAAATATATATAAAGTAAAATTGGGGGCAGGTAAATTAGTAAAGGGGAAAAAAGTTGACGGAGAGAGATTGGAGAGAGACAGAGAGTGATAGAAAAAGAGAGAATGGGGAGAGGGCGACATAGGAGAGAGAGAGAGAGAGAGGAACACAAATACATAAGTGGTATATATATATATATACATCATTCAAACGAACAATTTCGTTGAAATTTTTTTTTTTTATTACAGTTTGTGGAAATGCATCTCAAAGTAATTAAATTTAAAAAAAAATTGAGGGAAAATGCATTTCCGCAGTACTATAGCAGACTCTCTCTCTCTCTCTATCTCTCTCTAAGTGCCATATCGTGCGATCATGCTGTTCCACAACCCTCGGCTCCTAGCCTTCTGTATTGGTACTACTTCCAGTTCTTTCACTCCTCTCTCTTCCAACAATTTCTGCAGACTGTCCATTCAAAGTATCCTCCTTCTTTCCCTACTCCTTCTTCCCACATTTTTCCCTGTCAAAGCAAGATTCTCTAGGCCTCTTTACGTGTAACGTGACCAATGAACTTCAACTGCCTAATCAACATCTCACGTATCATTTTCCTTTGCACTCGAGCTCGTGTAAGAACTTCCTCATTACTAACTTTGTCAGTCCAGGGGATTTTCATTATTCTTCTTAAAAATCACATTTCGCAACTTTCCAAACGCTTTTTAGTAACAGAGGCTAAAGTCCATGTTTCACTACCATTCAAAAGTACTGGGTAGATGTAACAATTCAATACTCTTATTCTGGTCCTCATACTCATTGTTCGATTTGTCAGAGTTTTGCCTAACTGTGAAAATGCAGATTTAGCGAGAGCTATCCTTCTCTTGATCTCTGTCTCACATCTGGCATCCTCGGTAATCATGCTGCCGAGGTAGTTAAATGACGAGACTTGTTTAATAATCTGTTCTTTCAGTTTCAAGTTACATTTTGGACTGTTCTTCTTGGATACCACCAAGCACTATAGCAGACATCACCTCCGAATCACCAGTTTTTATTTTCTAAAACTCTATCAGTATTTCCAATTATTTAGAACATGTATACATATATTGAGAGAAAGGTTTAGTACGGGATATTCATGTATATATATACACAGAGGCGGCTCCTTTAACTTTGCAAAAGTGCCCCTTTTTACATAGGAAAAGTGCCCTTTTTACTTTGACAAGTGTCCCTATCACCTAGTAAAAGTGCCCTTCCCCTCTTTACCTCTGATAAGTGCCCCTTTTATTTTGACACGTGCCCATTTTTCTTCGACAAGTTTTCACTTTCCTTTGCAATAAGTGTCCAATTTCCATTCTCATAAGTGCCCTTTTTAATCTCTAGTAAGTGCCCCTTTTCACCTCTGATAATTGCCCTATCCAAATCTGAGAGGTGCCCCTTTTACTTTGACAAGTGCCCCCTTCCTTTTGTAAGAAGTGACCCTTCCCCTTTTAATAACTATCCCGTTATCATAAAATGCCCCTTTTAACCTATGAAAAGTGTCCCTTCTCATTCTCATAAGTGCCCCTTCCCCTCCTGATAAGTGCTCTTTTCATCTCTGATGAATGCCCCTTTTCACCTCTAAGAACTGTCCCTTTTATTTTGACACGTGCCCCTTTTCCTGTCTAACATGTGCTCTTTTTCCTTCTTATAAGTGCTTCTTCCCCTTCTCATAAATTACCTCTTGTCATCTCTGATAAGTGCCCCGTTTATTTTAACATGTGCCTCTTTTTCTTTTTGATAAGAACCACTTCCACCTTCTCATAAAAGCCCCCATTCACCTCCTATAATTTCAATGAAGAGGGTATAATACTGCTGAGGACCTATAGCCTTCCCGATCGTAATCACCTAGTCAGGAACGAGCCACACTGTTTATAGCAAACCAAACCAATATACAAGTTGATTCACTAATCATATTTCATATTATTGTTCTTGTTTGCTAGATTGCTTGCTGTTTACTAGCACTTCAAATAAAGAGATACAACAATTTTCTAATTAATAGCACACTATATATGTATACATATATTATATGCATGAGGAAAAAGGCAAAAGGTTGATATACTCAACTAAAAAAGAAAGTATACTTCTTCGGATTATCATAATGATAGTGGGTTCTTGTATAGCACTCGTGTCTGTCAAACTTGATACTCCTGGAGCTCAGGGGCGTAGACAACGGGGGGGGGGGGGGATGAGGGGGATGCATCCCCCCACCTCACAAGGTGGGGGGATGGCATTTACAATCATCCCCCCAGGTTTTGGGGAATGATATTTGCTTACTTAATAAGTCATAATGATGATAATAATAGTAATAATAATAATGATAACAATTATAATAATAATAATAATAATAATAATTATGATGATGATAATAATAATCCTCATCATTATTGTAATTGTGTTTATTGTTATTAGCCGCATTCACACGGTGAAAGCCAATTCAGACGGTAAAAAAAAAGAATATCTTACAAGTATTTTTTGGTTATCTTGTGGTTTGGAAACCACAAGATAACCACAAGATTAAACAGGCGCGGATCTACGGGGGGGGGGGTTTAGGGGGTTTAAACCCCCCCCCCCCCTTGGGCGGCCCAAAAAACAAACAAAACAAAAAAAAGGAAAAAAAAAAAGAAAAAAAAAGAAAAAAAGAAAAAAAAGAACGCACAATGGAGAGAAACCCTTTCAAGTGCAAATATTGTGAGAAGATATTCAACTCATCTGGTAACTTAACCAAACGCAAGATAACTCTGGATATAACTGTGTATTTAACTGTTACTTGATTTAAAAAGACGTTATCATGCACTGCTTTTTATGGTCTCCATTGTGTTAATAGATGCCAGGAAAACATCACTTAATTACGGGGTTCAAATAAACACCCCCCAAAAAATCGGCTCGCCGCTTCGCGGGTCGTGGACGATGCTCCGCATCGTCATTATTGGTCGACCCCCCCCTTTATAGCAAAAAGCTAGATCCGGCCCTGAGTCATCCCCCCCGGTGTACGAACCTGTCTACGCCACTGGAGCTCCACAATTATTACCCCATATAACCTATAATGATAGCTTTTAATAACAATACAAACTTAGAACACTTACCACAGCGTACACCAGCGTCTTCATGATGAGAACAGTCAGTGTTATACCACCCATTGGATGAGCAGGCTGTCAGGGAGTACTCGTAACCATAACAATTAACCTCATCCAGAAGAATACGACCAGTCCCTCGTCCGTAAATACCGGTACTTGTCCAGGCAACTGCAGAGTATGTTGACAATCCAAGTTGTCTACAAACAACCTCAGCATCATTATCGTCCCACGAATCATCACAAACGGTACCCCATTCACCGTTATAGTAGATTTCTACTCGACCCTCATCTGCAGATGCGCCACCAACAAGACGGATGGAAGTACTTGGGAAGAAAGAAGTTGATGTTGTTGTTCCATCACCTATAAAAGGGGATTACAAATAAAGCAATGCATTACACCATGCTCTATCCATTTTTTCTCGACGAAATGTTGGTGTAACGTTTCATTTCTCATATAGGTCAATACATTTTATAAGATGGGAAGAAGAATCCCTGCAATCTGATTGGTCAATTACCATGTAATTTTTTTTAAACTGGATGCACGCGATACTCGTTCAAATGCAGACTTTCACATCCCATATGCAAGAACTTCAGTTTCTCAAAAGACAATTTACTATGCAGGTCCCAAACTATGGAATGCATTGCCACCTTATCTAAAATCTGCATGCTCTCTGAATGTTTTCAAGAGACAATACAAAGAAAGGCTTTTACAATCTTATCCACATTGAGTCACCTGTTGTTTGTTGTTTATGTCAATGTTAATTGTTATATCCCTGGTTTGTATGGGTTTTTTTCTTTTTATAATTGTTATTTCTATTTTCTATTTTGTATGTACTATTATTCTGCTTGGGTCTAATTTCATCCTATGTATTAACTTTACTTCTCATCTTGCCTTTCTCTCCTTCAATTTTCCTTCCTCTTCCCCTCTCTCTCTCTCTATATCTATCTCCCTCTCTTGTTTCTCTCTGACCCAGCTGTAGCTGTATATGTATTCTCTCCCTCCTGTTGTTGTACATGCAACAGTATACAATGCAATTTATTTTATTCTAAGGGGTCGAATTCACAAGATCTTTGAGTAGATCTTTAATCTGTCCCCACTCAATTTATGTTATTTGTGTTGTCATCTACTGATTTTGCTATGTCCATCTTTTTATATTTGTTATACATGTATGCGTTTATTCGCAATTCTATGTGTCTGTTTTTTTGTATTGAGTGAATACATTATTTTTTGTTTTGTAATATTCTTTATTGTTTTCACTCAATAAATAATATTAATTCATACAAATTGTAATATATAACATATTGAAACCAATTACAGAGTACAAAATACAGTAATCTCAATTATATTGAATGAATTAATATTGTTATAACCCCCCCCCCCTCTATATTTTGTTCTGTAGTACTAGTATCCCTATTACATATTATAATTTATAACATATTGGAACAAAGTACAGACTACAATCAACTTAGTTATATCGAATGAATGAAGTTTGTTATATCCCCTACCCCCGTTAAAAACAAAACCAACAACAACAAACACAAAACAAAAACAGAAAAAAAAAAAAAAAAAAAAACGATACAAGAAGACGTGGGCAGTCTATGGCAGTCGAGACCGGTCAATCACACACAGCTGTGAACCGGGCAGGCCATCCCTTTCCTCATCCCTTGCATTTTCTTGCATATTATCCATGTTTACCTTGAGATGTTCCCATTTTTTATAGTGGAGCGTCAACGTATTTCGTTCAGTAGCACTCTTTCTTTCTTCCTGTTTACTTTTGAATATTTTCTCTCTTATTTCTTCAATACTTGGAGGCTTCTTTTTTTCCCTACTAATAAATATCAAATATTTAATTAATAAAACCACGTGATTAATCATTTGCCTATCTTCGGTTATTTCGTCTAATCCAATGTGAACTTCCTTCCAGCTCATATCTTTAAGGATTGGAATATCCAAACTATCACTACATTGATCCCATAATTTTCTCACCATTTCGCATTCAAAAAATATGTGCCTATATGTTTCCTCTTCTTTTCCACAAAATGAGCATTTATCACTTAATATGAATTGAAACCTGTATAAATAACGATTGACATAAACAATTTTATAAAGCAATTTGAATTGAAATTCTCTTAGTTTATTATCTAAAGGACTAATTCTTGGTCGGACAAAAACCTTTTCAATTTCTTTAACCGACAGATTGTATGATGAATGTAAATTCTGAAAACTGACAGGGACGTCTTGCATTTTTTGTATGCATGCCCTGTACAGATTTTTCGAACAAACCGATTCAAATTGGAATGTTTTTTTTTTGTGAACATAAATTCTATTTTTAGATCATGAAATGAAATTTGCCTCTTTGTTAATTCGATTTTCCATTCCTTAGGTATATTACCATAGATTTCTTTAAGCATTGATATTTCCTCTTCCTCTAGTCCCATACATCTGAAATAAGTTTCCGACTTTAATGTTCCTTTTCCATCTATAATATGGTACAATCTATAAGTATTTTTTAAGAAAAGATTTTCATTGAAGTATGTTCTTCCACTATTGTGTATAAACCTATTATTTAAAAAAATTTCATTCCCTTTGTGAGTTGTATCTTTTTTAATAAAATCATTCATATCTAACCAAATGTTTATTAAATCCCGATAGTATTTTGGTAATTGTATATCGATCTTGTTAGGTAAATAGTTACAGTAAAAAATAAGATTTCCTCCAAAAGGTCTCATTAAAAATTTGAAATACTTTTTCCATTTAACTCTCTGGTTTCCTGTTACAAGTCTTTTAATCCACATCACTTGTTGTACTTTCACAAAAAGTTGAAAGTTACACATTTTTAATCCTCCTTGCTTGTAATCAAAATACATCGTACTTTTTTAAATTTTGTCTTTACCTCGCCATAGAAAATTAAAACAGATCTCATCAATTTCTTTTATAACCCATTCAGGCACTGGAGTCAAAGAGCTTACATAAATTAGTTTTGAATATGCGTATGTTTTCAAAGTAAGATCTCTTTGTTTCCACCAATTTAACAATTTCTTTATTTTGCTTAATATTTCTTTGTAATTCATCTCTTCCGCCACATTGGGATCTAATCTAAAATATATACCGAGTATTTTTAAAATGTGTGCCTCCTTTCCAAAAGGATACACAGTCGCAGAGCCAACAGAAGATCCTAAGGGTAAAATGAATGTTTTATTTCCATTAATCTTTAGTCCTGATATTTTCCTAAAATTTTCCATGATTACCTCTATTCTATTAATCGAGTTTATGTCTCGTACAAAAATTGACATGTCATCTGCATATAAGATCATCTTTATTTCTGTTTCTCCAAAACAAATACCTTTTACCAACTTATCATTTCTAATGCAGTGAGCTAAGCATTCTATGCATAAAATAAATAAATATGGAGATAACGGATCTCCTTGTCTTACACCCCTTTGAACTTTAAAATATCGGGTTGATTTACCCCCATTAAAAACACAACTTTGAGCATTGGTAAGTAAAATTGTAACCCATTCACAAAACATTGGCCCAAACCCGAAAGAAATGAGCACTTTCTGAAGAAAACTATGTGAAATCGAGTCGAAAGCTTTTTCATAATCTATTGCCAATAGGTACCCTGGTTTGTTAAAACAAGAAGTATGAAAAATCATATCATTGATTAATCTGATTGCATCACCGATGTTTCTTTCTTTTAAATAACCTACTTGATCGACCGACACAATTTCATTCAAAACTTTTTTTTATTCTTTTAGAAAGTATTTTGGTAATAATCTTATAGTCTACGTTGAGTAAGGAGATAGGTCTATAATTACTAATGAATTTGGGGTCTTTACCATCCTTATGTATAAGCGTTATGATTGCTTGTTTTTGAGAAGGCGACAATTCCTTGAATTTCATGGTATCGTTAAATGCCTTAAGATTTAAGTCACCAACTACATGCCAGAATGTAATATAAAATTCTACATTTAATCCGTCATTTCCTGGGGATTTATTTAACTGCATTTCTTTTAAGATTTCAATACACTCTCCCTGGTTAATTTTTCCTTCACATAGCTTCCTCTGATTTTCTGTTAATTTGGGTAAGGTTTTGGGGAAAAAATTAATATTTTCGCATAATCCTTCTTCTGATTTAGCATACAGTTTAGAATAAAATCTTCTAATTTCTTGTATGATATCTTTTTCATCATCAGTTATATTTCCATCTACTTGTAATTCTTTAATAGCACTTTTTTTCTCTTTGAAATCTATTAGTTGCTTAAAATATGCCGTTTCTCTTTCTCCACTTTCAAACCATTGGGCTCGAGATCTGATTTTTACCCCTTCACTTTATTATATAACCGTAAAGACTTTTCAATTCCCTTCTTTTCTTTTCCAAATCGTTAATCAAAGAATTGTCATTCACCTTCGCTGGTATTTGTAATTCTTCCTCTAACTTTGAAATTTCTTTTTCCAAACCAACAATCTTATCCTTTCTTTCTTTGGCTTTTTTCTTACAGTATTTTCTTGTAAAACTTCGTATCTCCATTTTAACATAATCCCATAATATTCTATTATCTATTATCTCTTTGGATAGATTGAGTTTCAACCGTGTTATTTCTTCTTTCATACTTTTCACATAATCTGCATCGTTACATAAACTGTTATTAAATTTCCAATATCCTGCTTTTATTACAGGATTAGTAGAAGAATGTAGTTTAATAATCAGTTCTACTGCTGAGTGGTCCGGTGAAATTGAAGTTAATATTTTGCAGCTAAATACCATATCTTCTATGCTCTCCGAAATAACCCAGTAGTCCAATCTACTATGCATTTTAGGATTCTGTTGGTGATATGTAAATTGTTTCTTTAAATTATTTTTGACACGCCATATGTCTGTGGCATTATAGTCAATTAAAAACTTTTCAAATTCATAGCTAAGCTTAGACTGTTTTTTATTAACATTATGTCCACTTTAATCTAAATGTACATCTCTAACCATATTAAAATCCCCTCCAATAATGAGAGGTTTATTTTTGAATTCATCTTTTTCCAAAATATTTCTAACTTTGCCCAGAAACTCCAATTGTTCCAACTCTTTGCTCCCAACAGGGAAGTAAACATTTCCGAATATTACCTCCTTATTCTGCAGAAAACCAACTGCAAAAATGTATCTGCCATTTTCATCGATAACTGTGTGTCGTATCTTAATATTTACTCCACTATCAAATAGTATCATAACTCCTTTACCATGATTAGTACCGTGGCTGTATATACATTCGCCTTCCCACATCGAATTCCAAGTATTAACTATATCTTGTGTGCTAAAGGTTTCCTGTAAAAAAATAATATTCCCACCTTTTTCTTTGCACCATTTGAAAATGCTTCTTCTTTTATTTTTCTCCCGAATACCTTTTACATTATTTTAAGGATATCAAATTGCAGACGGAAATGTTAGTGTTACTCTTTCTATTTGAAGTGCATAGGGACATGCTATCCTGTAATGTGTTATAAAATGTGTTTAATACCTTCTTTATACAATCATTCCAATACCGGCTACATGCATGCGCTTCTTTAAACCTAATTGATTTGATTTGATTTGATATCGGCGATCGATACCACCGATATCCTTTTAAAAAAAATCTCATTTTTTTGTTTTTTTAATAATTTTATTTTTATATAATTTTTCTTTTTTTTAATGATTTTGTTGATAATTATTTGTTTTTCGTGTTTTTTGATAATTATAATGTGTTAAAAAAAAAAATCTATAATATTTTTTAAAGTTTGCACTGACAATTTTTATTTTTTATTTTTTTTTAAATTTCATGATAAGTTCAGAACCATGCGTCCGGTAAAAAAAATATCATGCTTCCGGTAATTACCAGACGCATGATTTTTTTCCATGCATCCGTTAAATCTGTAAAATAACAAAATTGTGCATTTTTGACAATTTTTGGGGCCCCATCTTATAAAACAGATGATGCACAGGTTTAATTCGTGGGTCGGTGGAATTGTGTGCACGCGGTACCTTTGAATTTGGTCTAAAACCATTCAAAGGTACCTTGCGCACACAATCCCTACCGACGCACTCAAACCTGTGCATAATGTGAGGGCTAATTACTATGACGTGGAACTAATCTTGAAAATTATGCTATTATAATACACAGAGGTATACGATGGTCCGTTGCGTAGGTGGATCAAATTACCAAGATGCAAGCATGATTTCGATATCTCGATTGTATACATGCCATGGTATAGGAACTTCTATATATAACTATGCTTATATCGGCATAGGCGTACAGAAACAATCTTGCATGCCGTGGGGCTAACCTCTCTTGGCCGAATATTAACTTCTTTGTTTTTCGTTCAGGAATGCTCAATTTCTGACACGTTTTTATCTTGACCGGATAATTTTGTTATGAAAATATACTAGAGGGATATCAAGATTACATATAGACCACATCACTGCCAAAATGCTGACCCTTTCCAAAACATTCGTTATGGTCGATTTTTTTTTCTGGCATCATAATAGCATGAAATAGCTAAAATCATAGAATCTATAGGAATAAGATCCGTAATATTGAATTATCTTAGAAAATACAAAAGGAAAAAAAAACGTTCATGCACAATCGAAATATGATGCAATTATTCATCATTGACTTAACAGGAAAATAAAACACTTTAATGAAAGTCAGTAATCACAACACGATGACAAATTAAGAGTCTTATTTAGCCATTGTAATGATTTTCTAAATACAATATTATGTCCATTTCCAGTGTAAATGGGAAAATCTATGTATGTTTATCTGCAGTAATGGAGAATGAATATCATTACGTAGCTATGGATATGAAATTATCAACATATTTTTTTATAAGTATTGTAAACGCAGACTAAAAGGTTTGTCTTTCAGAATAAGGAGGTGTGGTGGTATAGCGGTTTATTCACTTGACTCTTAATCAAAGGGTTGAAGGTTCGAATCCCAGCACTGACGTCCTTTAGCAAGACATTAATCCACATTTGCCAGTCTCCACCCAGGCGTTAAATGGGTGCCTGGTAGGATGCAAAACCATTGTAGTTTACCCAGCGCATTGCGAGCGTCTGTAAAATGGCTATTGGCTGGAATGCTTCACAGGGAGTGGATAATATTGCATACATTGTGTGCGGGCCAGCCTGAATCCGATGACAGGGGTATAGTTATAATACATCTGTAAAGCGCTTTGAAATATCATCGATGTATTAAGCGCTGTATAAACCCTGACTATTGGTATTGTTTTTATTACCTTTCTAGAGTGAGCGATATAGACGAATTTAGATAATTTTTACATGTTTGAAGGTGAAAAAAAGAAAGATGACTACACCCCTATCTTCACCCTAAACCAACTCGACAGCCTTGTCGCATGCACCCATTGGTTATCGTATCCATATGACGCCAGTGTTCCCTTCACGACTGGATATATGCTCTAGACCTATCACTGACGATATACAAGAATCCTCTCTACGATGAGGAATCTATTTTCTTTCTTTTTTATGTTAAAAAAACAACTTACCACACTCAACTCCTGCATCATTATCATGAGTACAGCTGTAGAAAGAAGACTCAATAAAGGAACATGCCGATAGACCTGATTCAGAGAAAAACGAGCAGTACACGTTAAAGATGCTACCCGATCCTGGCCCATAATAAGCATTATATCTAACAACTGCATTCCCAGAGTTGTATCCGAGTTGGCGACATACGATTTGAGCCTCATCATCACCCCAGTTGTAATCACACACTGTCACCCATTCATTATTATAGTAGATCTCCACTCGACCATTGTTGTATTGATCACCATCCGTAAGCCGTACGTCATATTGACTCTCTGTGTAGACAAAATAGGATATTTGATGCGACTTTAGATGACTGATATAAGTCAAATTAATATGTCATGGTGTATTCAGATGTAGATATGCAGTTATACAGTCAATATTAAAGACAAGTACGGTGGCATACCAGGGAGGTGAGAGAGGAATTGGCATAGTTGCTCTGTTCACTTGATCGTGCTTTCATTTAGGTTTCATCATCTGGAATTATAATGCGCTTCAGTATACATGATATCATTGCCTTTTCAAACTTAAAACTTGATGAACATTCCAACATTTGATTTGACTTCCTGAAATATATATCTCTATTGTTAGGTTAGTTAGATGAGACTCCCTGGGTTAATCTAGGGCAAGGAATATACAAAATAATAACAGATTCTAAATGATCAAGTATTGAAAGAAACTCCACAAGCTCGATTTCGGGATTAACCTTTCGAATTCTTTAAAGGATGAAATGCAAAAAAAGGTGATTATAATAATAATGGCGATGATGATAATAATACTCATAAATGTAACATACACAAAATTATTTAAAAAAAACAAAACAAGCTACGCATCCATTATTCTCTCATCTGTTTTCGAATTGTGTTCATTGGCACAAGAAATGCCAAGGCTTTTGCAGTTTGTCTATGTTACTTCCTTATACACCCATATTCGTAAGAAATGGACTGCAAATGTTAAACATGGCGGTCATCTTGTGTGAAGTACTATAAATGAAATATATGACGTAGCTGATACACGGACCATGAATGCATCTTGAATAAGTTGGGAATCTGTCAGGAGAGGGGCAATTAAACTGCCACCTTTTAATTTAATTTAAGTTAAATTGAGTCAACTCATTTGAAGTAGATGGTAGAATAATATAAATTCAATGAATATACTTCCTCTTCCGCCTCTTCTGTCATGTGAGCAAACTTTAGACTAAATTCAAATGATTTAAACATTTTAAAACAAGTTTTTAACAAGTTTAATTTGATTAAATCAAGATACTTACGACTCTGAACATGGTTAACAAGCCCAGTAGTTATGCATAATAATCCAATAACGATCTCTGCTATGCTCGCCATTTTACAGTTCTGCATGCGTTTAACGAATATTGTATGCATATGGCCCGTATGTCAATTTACACGGTGCGATTCATTCTGCAAGTCATAAACTCCGCATGTCTGCCTTCCATTTTCTTTTGTGCAGATCCTATTGTGAAATAAAAATGCACAATAATATTGCGGTTAGCTATTTAAAGATTGTACGTCATATATATGTATGTAAATAATTTTCTCAAGCTTCACGTAGCATCTCTGACGTACTCATGCCATATGGAGTAACTATCGATCGCGGTTATTATTCATATATTGTATTTTGTACAAATGCTTTTTAAAGATTCCACTTGTGACAACAAATGTATAAACAAAGTCACTATAATATAAATATATTCATTCCTCTTGTTTAATATTGTGGAATTTACGTCCAGTTACACAGCATAAAAAGGCATATTCTAAAATTTGTAAAAATATAGATTTGACACAATTCTGCTCTTGAGGTAGTTCTTAGATAAGGCTGCATCATTTATTTTCCTCTACAGTGTGAGTCAAAAAAAAAGTTTACACCTAGAAAAGTGTTAATTATTTTAAAAATTATCTATAAACAGTAAATTATTATACATCTTATGAAAGAGTGTTTTATCCCAAATCATTTGGTATCATTTTTGTGTGGTATGTGTTCACGCTTAGATGAACAGGTGGCATTGTTTGCGAGAGTGCAAAAATCGACTTGCGCCAAAGTGATGCCCACAGCATGTATTATGTTGGGATTAGCGGAGTGAGAGAATGAATTGAATGTATCAAATGAAATGCATTGCTTATGCTTTTTGCAGAAGCAAAGTCACACACGCACACACACACGCGCACAAATGTTCATCTATATTTGATATTCAATATTTGATATGTGTGGCATGATTACTTTTGTTAGGGATGTTATTTGGATCTGCAAAAACCGATTCAATACCCAAATCCCAATTGTTTTAATTAAAATATCAACTTTGGCGCAAGCCGATTTTTGCACTCTCGCAAACAATGCCTCATTCAAGCGTGTAAACATACCACACAAACATGATACCAAATGATGTGGGATAAATCGTTCTTTCATCAGATGTATAATAATTTATTGTTCTTAGATGATTTTTTTAAATTATTAGCAATTTTCTAGGTGGAAACCTTTGTTGACTCACACTGTATTTCTACCGGCGTCCTTTTCTATGCACTACTTTTCTTTTCTTTTCCCTTCTCCAGTTCATTTCATAAGTGTTTACTTTCGTTTTCCCTCATCCCTCTCTCTCTCTCTCTCTCTCTTAATATCTCTCTATCCTCGATTGTCTTTTACACTTTAAAAAAAAAATGTTTTGCTGTCTCGTCTTGGGACTAGCTTCTGTAGATATGTACCTTAAAGGTATTTAAGCATCATTGTTTTCACATTTTAATGTTACATTTAGGGGCAAATTGTCAAGAATATAATCATTTGTGTGTTCCTAACTTATAAACTATGTAACTCTCTGTTTTTATTTTTTCGGTCTAGCAAGTGCAAATTTAAGGAAGTAATTATGTGTCACTTGCAGCAACGCCTCGTCCCTTTTGTCCTAACCATGTACCGCTCTCCATGTACCCCCATCTCTCCATGTACCCCCATCTCTCAATCCATGTACCCCATCTCTCCATGTACCCCATCTCTCAATCCATTTACCCAATCTCTCCATGTACCCCATCTCTCAATCCATTTACCCCATCTCTCAATGTACCCCATCTCTCAATCCATGTACCCTGTCTCTCAATGTACCCCATCTCTCAATCCATGTACCCCATCTCTCAATCCATGTACCCCTGTCTCTCAATCCATGTACCCCTGTCTCTCAATGTACCCCATCTCTCAATCCATGTACCCCTGTCTCTAAATGTACCCCATCTCTCAATCCATATGTACCCCCATCTCTCCATGTACCCCATCTCTCAATCCATGTACCCCCATCTCTCCATGTACCCCATCTCTCAATCCATGTACCCTGTCTCTCAATGTACCCCATCTCTCAATCCATGTACCCCCATCTCTCCATGTACCCCATCTCTCAATCCATGTACCCTGTCTCTCAATGTACCCTATCTCTCAATCCATGTACCCCTGTCTCTAAATGTACCCCATCTCTCAATCCATGTACCCCCATCTCTCCATGTACCCCCATCTCTCCATGTACCCCCATCTCTCCATGTACCCCATCTCTCAATCCATGTACCCCCATCTCTCCATGTACCCCATCTCTCAATCCATGTACCCCAGTCTCTCAATGTACCCCATCTCTCAATCCATGTACCCCCATCTCTCAATGTACCCTGTCTCTCAATGTACCCATCTCTCAATCCATGTACCCTGTCTCTCCATGTACCCCCATCTTTCCATGTACCCCATCTCTCAATCCATGTACCCCATCTCTCCATGTACCCCATCTCTCAATCCATTTACCCCATCTGTCAATGTACCCCATCTCTCAATCCCCGGCCCCCCCCCCCACTCAGTGTTATTTAGGGTACGCATATGCTCGTACCCTCTTTTTGAAAGCACCCCCTATCTGAGGACTGCCAACATTTCCGAACCCCCCTTTCGCGGGCTTTTTGAGGGCTTTTCCTGCCTTGGAGACCCCCCTAAATCAGGAAAAATGCTCAATGTACCCCCCTAAATTCGGAATAATTTCTCAGGATTCCAAAGAGATGAGAGAAAAAAAGAAAAACACCCCCTTTTTAAAGAAATCTCCGGGTGAAAAGTCAAATACACCCTTTTTTTTTTACAAATCTCGGGCCGGACTTTGTCGCACGAAAAGTACCCCTTTACCAGACATTTTGGCAACACGCATGCGGTCATTCCGACCTCTGAGTGGGGGGGGGGGGGGGGGGGCCGGGTCTCAATCCCTGTACCCTGTCTCTCAATGTACCCTATCTCTCAATCCATGCACCCCTGTCTCTCAATGTACCCCATCTCTCAATCCACGTACCCCTGTCTCTCAATGTACCCCATCTCTCAATCCATGTACCCCTGTCTCTCAATGTACCCCATCTCTCAATCCATGTACCCCATCTCTCCATGTACCCCATCTCTCCGTGTACCCCATATCTCCATCCATGTACCCCCATCTCTCCATGTACCCCATCTCTCAATCCATGTACCCCCATCTCTCCATGTACCCCATCTCTCAATCCATGTACCCCATCTCTCAATACATGTACCCCTGTCTCTCAATGTACCCCATCTCTCAATCCATATGTACCCCCATCTCTCCATGTACCCTGTCTCTCAATGTACCCCATCTCTCAATCCATGTACCCTGTCTCTCCATGTACCCCCATCTTTCCATGTACCCCATCTCTCAATCCATTTACCCCATCTCTCAATGTACCCCATCTCTCAATCCATGTACCCCATCTCTCAATGTACCCCATCTCTCAATCCATGTACCCCATCTCTCAATGTACCCCATCTCTCAATCCATGTACCCCATCTCTCAATGTACCCCATCTCTCAATCCATGTACCCTGTCTCTCCATGTACCCCCATCTTTCCATGTACCCCATCTCTCAATCCATGTACCCCATCTCTCAATGTACCCCATCTCTCAATCCATGTACCCCCATCTCTCCATGTACCCTGTCTCTCAATGTACCCCATCTCTCAATCCATGTACCCTGTCTCTCAATGTACCCCATCTCTCAATCCATGTACCCTGTCTCTCCATGTACCCCCATCTTTCCATGTACCCCATCTCTCAATCCATGTACCCTGTCTCTCAATGAACCCCATCTCTCCATCCATGTACCCTGTCTCTCAATGTACCCTATCTCTCAATCCATGCACCCTGTCTCTCAATGTACCCCATCTCTCAATCCACGTACCCCTGTCTCTCAATGTACCCCATCTCTCCATCCATGTACCCTGTCTCTCAATGTACCCCATCTCTCCATCCATGTACCCTGTCTCTCAATGTACCCCATCTCTCCATCCATGTACCCTGTCTCTCAATGTACCCCATCTCTCAATCCATGCACCCCTGTCTCTCAATGTACCCCATCTCTCAATCCATGTACCCCATCTCTCAATCCATGTACCCTGTCTCTCCATGTACCCCCATCTTTCCATGTACCCCATCTCTCAATCCATGTACCCTGTCTCTCAATGTACCCCATCTCTCAATCCATGTACCCCCATCTTTCCATGTACCCCATCTCTCAATCCATGTACCCTGTCTCTCAATGTACCCCATCTCTCAATCCATGTACCCTGTCTCTCAATGTACCCCATCTCTCAATCCATGTACCCCTGTCTCTCAATGTACCCCATCTCTCAATCCATGTACCCCCATCTCTCCATGTACCCCGTCTCTCAATCCATGTACCCCATCTCTCAATCCATGTACCCCATCTCTCAATCCATGTACACCTGTCTCTCAATGTACCCCATCTCTCAATCCATGTACCCCCATCTCTCCATGTACCCTGTCTCTCAATGTACCCCATCTCTCAATCCATGTACCCCCATCTCTCCATGTACACCTGTCTCTCAATGTACCCCATCTCTCAATCCATGTACCCCCATCTCTCCATGTACCCTGTCTCTCAATGTACCCCATCTCTCAATCCATGTACACCTGTCTCTCAATGTACCCCATCTCTCAATCCATGTACCCCCATCTTTCCATGTACCCCATCTCTCAATCCATGTACCATGTCTCTCAATGTACCCCATCTCTCAATCCATGTACCCCTGTCTCTCATTGTACCCCATCTCTCAATCCATGTACCCCTGTCTCTCAATGTACCCCATCTCTCAATCCATGTACCCTGTCTCTCAATCCACGTACCCCACCTCTCAATCAATGTACCCCGTCTCTCCCAGGCAGCATAAAAGTACTTGTTAATTTAAATAATATTACATCATTTTCGGCACACCTGGGGGCCCTAGGCGTTGTGGCGTGCGCCTGTGATCCAGCTAAAAGTGGAAGTTACAAACTGATTCAGCCGAGGACGCAGGTTCGAAGCTGAGTCACGTCTTTCGGATGGTGACGTTTAAAGGTCGGTCCCCAGACGTAAATAATCATATCTGATAGATACACGTCTGTAAAAACCCGATACACACACATGCCCTTCCTCTTCTTTGGAGCTGGATATCCCTAGACCTCCAAATCAAAGGCAGGCATAAACGCCATCCCTCGATTTAAACTGCTCCCAAACATGTAAGGGTGTAACCACTAAAAAGACACAACGCAATGACGTCCCCAAAGTCAACTGGTAATTGTAATAATGAATAACATAAAACAATCAATGGCATATGGTACACAATGCTATATATAATAACCTGTTAAGCACAGTACAAACAACTTACATGTATACATCCCTTAATTCCACTCTTTCCTCAAATCTTCATGAGAACAAGTCTTACCGAACAGTAATCCCTTCAACACCTTTATCATGAAAACCAAACACATCAAACAACAAATTATTTCAATCTGGACAGCTGAAATCCAGATTTACACCAAAATTGTTTAATTTTCAGGTTCTGGGTTTCTCTTTTACTTTTCTTCAAGGCTATGTGAAAGATACCAGTAGCCAGAATCAAATTATTGTTACCCTTTTAATGATGGTTCTGCTTAATCTTAAATAAGTTCATGAATTATAAAATCATCAATTAATAAATTACACATGAGTTGTTAATGCATTACAGAAGCCACAAATAATAAAACAGCCACTCATTCATTTTGTTTTGGTAATTTTATTTTTATTTGTAAGGCAAGACATTCAGTATTTAAAAAAATGCTTAGTACAAATAACATGATAATTTCAGAAATACAAACACAAAAAGAAAATTACAAGATATATGACACTTATTAATACAGTAACATTGATGGGATATGATAAATGCTACATTTATTAACTGAGCACTAAATGGTATAAGCGTTATACCAAACAACAGAGAACTAAATGGTATAAGCGTTATACCAACCTACAGGGCACTAAATGGTATAAGCGTTATACCAATCTACAGAGCACTAAATGGTATAAGCGTTATACCAATCTACAGGGCACTAAATGGTATAAGCGTTATACCAACCTACAGGGCACTAAATGGTATAAGCGTTATACCAATCTACAGAGCACTAAATGGTATAAGCGTTATACCAATCTACAGAGCACTAGATGGTATAAGCGTTATACCAATCTACAGAGCACTAAATGGTAAAAGCGTTATACCAACCTATAGGGCACTAAATGGTATAAGCGTTATACCAACCTACAGGGCGAAAATTTAGCAACGACTCAAAATACTTTAAATCTTTTTTGATAAAAATTGACATTTTTTTAAAATTCTAAATTTTATTTTTTTCCAAAAAATAGGATTTAAAAAAAAAAAAAAAAAAAAAAAAAATTGATGCATGATATCAAACAAATATATCCCTCAGCAAATAGCACTATTGGAGTCACCTCTTGCGCATAGTCTTAACCAGAACCTCTCAAGACAGTGTATATTTGTATACTACAGAGCACTAAATGGTATAAGCGTTATACCAATCTACAGAGCACTAAATGGTATAAGCGTTATACCAATCTAGAGAGCACTAAATGGTATAAGCGTTATACCAATCTACAGAGCACTAAATGGTATAAGCGTTATACCAATCTACAGAGCACTAAATGGTATAAGCGTTATACCAACCTACAGGGCACTAAATGGTATAAGCGTTATACCAACCTACAGAGGCGTACGCAGGATTTTTTTCAAAGGGTGGTTTTAAAATCTGAAAATCGCGCCAAAAATTTCGCAACAACTCAAAATATTAAAAATCTTTTTTGATAAAATTAGACATTTTTTTTTAATTCTAAATTTTAATTTTTTCCAAAAAATTAAAAAAAAAAAAAATTTAATTAATTTTTAATGCATGATATAAAACAAATATACCCCTCAGCAAATAGTACTATTGGAGTCACCTCTTGTGATAGTTTTAACCAGAACCTCTCTAGACAGTGTATATTTGTATACTACAGAGCACTAAATGGTATAAGCGTTATACCTATCTACAGACACTAAATGGTATAAGCGTTATACCAATCTAAAGAGCACTAATTGGTATAAGCGTTATACCAATCTAAAGAGCACTAAATGGTATAAGTGTTATACCAACCTACAGAGGCGTACGCAGGATTTTATCCAAAGGGGGGGGGGGGGTTTAAATTCTGAAAATCGCGCCAAAAATTTTGCAACGACTCAAAATATTTTTTTAAAAATTTGATAAAAATTGACATTTTTTTTTAATTCTAAATTTTATTTTTTTTCACAAAAATGCGATTAAAAAAAAAAAAATTAAATAGATTTTTAATGCATGATATAAAACAAATATACCCCTCAGCAAATAGTACTATTGGAGTCACCTCTTGCGCATAGGTTTAACCAGAACTTCCAAAGGCAGCGTATTATTTGTATACTACAGAGCACTAAATGGTATAAGCGTTATACCAATCCAAGGAGCACTAAATGGTATAAGCGTTAAACCAATCTACAGAGCACTAAATGGTATAAGCATTATACCAACCAACAGGGCACTAAATGGTATAAGCTTTATACCAACTTACAGGGGCGTACGCAGGACTTTTTCCAAGGTGGGGTTTTAAAATCTGAAAATCGCGCCGAAAATTTCGCAACGACTCAGCCAGCCTGTGAATAAGCAGGGGTGGGGGATGGGGGGGGGGGGGGGAAGGGGGTTAAGACTACATCCCATATGCAAACAATTTTGAGATAAATTTATACTCATACGGGAAAAAAATGTTTTACATTTACAGTTGACATGGAATTAGTCTGTCTCTCCTCTGATATTTTCTAGATAAGAACTTGAGCCGAATAAAATATTTCAGTGCAGTTTCAGGGCGAACAATTTATCACATATACATGTTACTTAAAACTTAATGTTCGAAAGTTCATTTGTTATCTTAGTGATGATTTAAAAACAAATCTTTTTAAAAATTGAGTTGTATGCTTAAAAGAGAAAAATTGAAATTCCTTTATTTCTATTACCAAAATTTGTCTTCAATCACTAGCGTCATGAAAATCCTTGCAGAATTGTGTGTTCATCGAAAACCATATGTCAGTACGCACTCTATGTGGAATATTGCCATCAAATTGGGGGGGGGGGGGGGGGGGGGGGTCCCAACACTATAGAAGGGCTTTAACTAGGCCTGAATACCTACTTCAAATAATCCATATATTTCTCCTTCAATCGAATCACTAACTGAGGTGGCAGTTTGTCTCTTGCTGTCAGAGTGAAAGGAAGGAGAATTACACTATCCCTTGGAATGGTCTCAACCCAAACCTGCTTCCAGTCCCGCTGTCCTGTGACAGCAACCATCATCTTCTTCCATTTTGTTGTCAATGTCCCTGTAAACCATTCTAGTACAAGGACATCCTCCCTGACCTTGTCCACATCTTGTCCTTGTCCTATCTGTGGTCATTGTGTGCTATACGCCTCGCGGTAGGTGGCCACCATATCTCCCTCCAGTATTTCTGTCCTCTTGAGCCTTCCTCGCATTGGGTCCAAGATGAACCTGAGCAAACAGACAAGCATAAACCAGGTGATTGAACAAATGAAATGTATAAAAGCTGCACTATATGAATTTATTATTATTATTATTATTATTATTATTATTATTAATGTGTAATATGTGCGCATGTATTAACTATCCATACATGTATCTTTGAATAATTGGAAGTTAATTACAAGTTGTAGAAAAAATTAACTGCATACAGTTGAGATATATGGCTTCCCATATGACACAATTGCCTCAGACTTATTAACTTTAAAGGGACCTGGTAAATTGTTTAGATAAATAAAAATACTGCTAAGATAGGACTTCAATGCTAGCTGTACAATTAAAGACAATCTGAAAGTTCGAGTGAAAACAGAACATTACCAACAATTAAAATGGGGAAAAACTGATCTGATTCATTTATAAATTCTCCCAACTACATTATATTAATTAAATTGAATTCAAGGTTAATTTAAATTGTTACAAAGCAAGGTATACATGTATAGACTCTTTATACCATTTTAAACATTCGAGTCATTAATGATTTTGAAAGCAATGTTTTATGTCATACTTACAAGGAAAAACAGTTGGGAGAATTCAAAAATTGGCAGGGAGATTTTACACATACCACTTTCAAAGAAAAGCTTATAGTTGTGGTTTGTGGGTTTTTTTCAGGAAATTTGCATTTTAGAGGGTTTGTACAGTAGTAGGAATATAATAAGTAACATTTCATATTAAAATTAAGCATTTTTTGTCATCAAACTTCAATAATGCTACCAGTTCCCTTTAAACAGTAATCGCATTTAAAGATACCCAATTTGATAGAAATATATCTTTCAGTTCTGGTTGTATTAGCATCTAATTGTTTCATGAACTTTGACCAATGATCTTTCTACCCCAAAACTTGATCATATCATCCTGACATAGCCATACATGCCAAATTTGTGTATGCTCTCCTAATCTGGTCTGAAGTTATTGCGTTAACAATGACATAAAGCCTTCAACAGTGCCAAATATAGAGGTTTTTGTTTTCATACTGTATTTACATTAGGGAACTGTAATTTATGGAACTAAGATAAGTATGGTTCCTAATGTGTTCCTTCTTACATTTTCAGGGGTTCAGGGGGCGACAAATCAAAATTTGAGGTTGCAAAAGTGAAATGTGTTTTAGGTTGCATCAGAAAGAATGTAATAATGAAGTTGAGCACTTCTATAGTATATGGTAGTCTATGATTGATGTGATAATATCCTTGCTTATATCTGCATGATAGAAAATACCTGTCTGTATGGTTTTTCCTCTGTGATGTCAGCATGCACTTGCTGCTGTGGAGCATTCACTGGTTGAGTGCCTGCTAGCATTAAGTCGCAAATGGGCCACCTCACTGTTGCATCGTCTTCTGTAGATGAATAAAGAAGTGCACAGAACTCATCTTGTATTCAAGGAACTTAATAACATAGTTTTCTGTTCACTATATAGTGCGTGTACAAATATCAGATATAAATCCATAAAAATTAAGCAAATAAATTGAGTATTATACAAAATACACAACAACTAGAGATTTCGCAATCTGTGTTGCCGCCCAATGGAAATGCATCCGCTGGCAGAGGCAGCGATTTTGGTGTCTTCCTTATGTTCAAAGGAGGGACAAAGACTGCGCAAAGCCTCCGCCATAGAGTGATTTTACAAACCAAACCAGAAGAATTTTTTTAATTCAAGTTTGTTTGCAATCCATTAACAGGTTCTCAGAATATCGTGATTACAAGCTATTTTTCATATACATGGCTCTGCAAGACAAATACATGTCCTGAGTTTGATAGTAATCCATCTGTCAGTTCTTATGATAATGCGTTCACATGCTAATTATAGGCATACATAATTAGCCCCACAACATGACCCAGGTTTGGCGGGAATCTCTCAATCAGTTTTTGTAGCAGAGGCATTAAAATATTGATTCTTTTGTGAAATCTTTTAGGTCCAGCTAATAAGTAGTATAATTATTCAATTTTGGTTTTGTGTGTGAGATTCACACACACAGGTTGGTAAAAAAAAATCTTAAAGAACGCGAAAAGAAAAACACCCTTTTTTCAAGTACCCTATTGCTTTAAAAACAAAGAGAAGGCAGCTAGCTTTTGGTTTCCTTTCAGTTTAATGACATTGTCAAAGTATTGCCATTATTGCCAAGATTTTTTTCAATAGGTAACATGAAATAGGAAATTGCAATTAGCCTAGGTTTATAGAATATAGAGATTATTTAAAGGGATTTATTCACCTTTTTGAAGATAATGAGCTCCATTAAGAGAGAGAGAAAGGCAAAGACGTGTCGATTCTTGTTCTCCCTTGCTGTCTTGTCTAATCGAAGATACAAAGTTGGTGGAAGGGAGTCGGTGCAGTGGATGAGAATGTTGAGGATGATGTTGATGGTGAGGTTGCTGTCATGAAGGTATTCTTTGATGTCGATATGAGTGTGTTGACCACTTCCATCTACAATTGCACCAGTGATGTGTGTGTTGAGTTGGTCCGTGTGGCTTAGGGCTTTGGGTGCTGGGTGTAGTTGCGGTATTGCTGTGCAGTGTTGATCCATATCCCATCGATGATGATGCTCATATATTTGTCTGGGCTTGCCTTCGCTTTTTGAATGTGCTTGTAGTATTTCTGTCTCTCACTGCTGCTGAAACAATAAATTAGGGAAAAGAAAAGCACTATTGAGGATATATTCAGTACATATTGTTGAGGATTCACAGTACAGTCAAACTTGTCAAACAACCTTCCTGAGGAAACTGGCAAAAGTGGCCTTTGTGGACAGGTGGTCATCATAAAGAGGTTCAGTAACATGCGAACCGCTCTAAAAATTGAAATTTTTAGTGATCTTTTTTAAATAGTTGAGCTTCAAAACAGGTTTGACTGGAAATAATAACATATTTAGAGATCAGGGTCCTTCACAGAATTCCTAGATTTTATTTCTTAGTACACAACAAAGCATGAATAGAGGCCTACGTGCTTCTGGGGGCTTAACCCTCTGGACCCCATGCCAATTAGTGTCCTGCCAGTGTCACAAATAAGGTATCAAATAAGCTCATCTTACTGTTATTAAATGCCTAAAACCCATGAGCTCCCCCTTGGCTCCACCTAGGGCCCTAAGGCGAGCCCCTGGATGCTCATCTGGTGGTCATATTTAAAGCCTAAAACCCCTGAGTTTCTGAGGGCATCGCCCCCTGGACCCCACGTTATTTAGTGTCCTAACAGTGTCACAAATAAGGTATCAAAATATGCTCTTCTGAATTAAATCCCTAAAATCCCTGAGTGCCCGGGGGCTTTGCTCCCTTGTCCCCACCAGGGGCCCCAATGCGGGCCCGTAAATACTTATCTGACCATTATAAAATGCCCCAAGATCCCTGAGTTTGATGGGGCCCTATTTGGTGGTAATTTAAAGCCTAAAACCCTCTCAGTTTCTGGGGGCTCTGCCCCCTGGACCCTAGGCCAATTAGTGACCTGCCAGAGTCATGAATAAGGTATCAAAATATGCTCATCGACCATAATTAAATGCCCATACCCCTGAGATCCTGCCCCTTGACAATTTTTGGGCTTTGCCGTAGGCCCCACGCCAATTTCCGCTAAGCTCTACCTTTGAATACTTTAGCCTTCCCCAACCCACATTTTTCTGCTTAGGTTGATCCTTCACGTCTGCAGGTGCGAAGAAAATACTGATCGAGACAACAAGAACAAGAGATGAAACTGAAATCAATCTACATGATCATTTGTACGGTAGCAAAATTGTGTGTTGAAAAAAAAGGAAACAAAATTTGCATGAAGGAATGAAACGGAATAGAAATACCGCAACATCTTGTGTTTTTACATCAAAGACTTAATTCCATGATGCTAAATTGTAGGTCAACAATTAAAAATATCAAAAAAGTACTTTCGTAGGATGGCATCCTACTATCGATTTGTAATCACTACCTGTAATAATAAAACTTACCTATGAACCGTTTTTGCTAGTAGTAGAATCTTGATCTCACAATTCCAATCACCTGGTACCAGGCTGTAGCACACACCGGCTCTAGACCAATGCTGAATGAGAACTGAAAGCTCGCATCTTCAGCTTGAGAAGAATGAGTCCTGAAGTACTTCAGAAGCTATATCCGCTGATCATACAAAGATTTCTCCTTGAAGGCTGAGCGGGCTGCAGCTGCATCTGCTCGTGTCACTATCACCAGGCAATCGAAAGAGCAGCATCTTCCACCGAAAACAGACAATAAAGTCTCACCACCAGTTTTGACTAAATAAAAGGTGCACAGAATAATTTTGGCTGATATAATAATAATAATATCTCCTTTCACATTAATATGTTACAATTTAAGTGAAATTTGGCCATCAAATTTTTGGCATATTTGGGGCTCCCAACACTTCAGAGGGGCTTTACCTTTATATATTCTACCGGTAATCAAAGATATCTAAATTTCATATTCTTCAATCAGAATCTTTCATTTCTCCTTTTCAAAATTAACAGAACATGTTTTCATATAAATTTCTATAACACTACTGCTATTTTAAAATCACCAAATTTACTTTCTGCAAAAAAAATTCCAGCTTGGCCTCGATGTCATTTAGTGTATGTTAATGCAACACAATCAAAATGGGGAGGGGTGTACATTGTGCATTCACTCTCCTTTTTAGAGCCATTCATGGAATAACACATACCTGAGTTACTGGCAGAAAAAGGCTGGGCATCCTCATCAGCATCACTTTCAAGCTCTAGCTGTGACAGTATTTCCAGGGGTCTGTAGACCTGTTAAGTTCAATTATCAAATACAGTAAGCTACATTTATATCTGGTCTTATAGCATTTTCCTTATTAACTAGCAATCTGGATTCTACTTGTACCCATGCCATGGTAGAGTATCCCTTTTGCAGGTTATAACTGCTGTAGAATTTTGCAGGAATTATTCATGAGTATTTGATTTTCACATACATGAATGTCCTGTCTGTGAAATGCAGAAGTTAGCAGTGACCTAGAATTAAAATGAAGCAATGAAATCTCTTTACTTTGTAGACTTAACATTTAGACACTTTGGAGTGACTGACTGACTTCAATTTTCTATGTTAAAAGCTTACATAAAATGATCTGTGAAGGGTATCATTTGTACACAACACAACAGTGACCCACTTCATGTAAAGAACAAAATTAAAATGATTTTTTCTTTGCTCAGCACAAAATGTAAGACTATGCAAGTATGCAGTACTAGGGTCTGAAACATCAGAATGATTTATTGGAGTAGAAAACTGCTAACAATTACATAATTAAACATACCGGTAAAGGTTATTTCCAGTGCTAATCTCTTAAGAGGAGCTTTTAGTTAATATTATTACTTGTTTAACATTGAATTTACAAAACTTTATATTTTGAGCCTGCAAGAGGGACCCATCTCCTTTTAAAGGCCCTGCATGGGTGTCATGAAATTGTAATAAAATTCCTAAAGATGACACTACCCTATCATCCTTTCAAATATAGGAACTTCTCAACACAGCTATGAAACAGTGTTTACAATGTAATATTCTGAAGAGCATTTTCAGTGCCTTAAATGTTAGTTGACAAGTTTCTAAAATATTCAACTCCCTTGTATTATTTCTGATATTTCACATTCAATATTTAATACCCTTCCTGCAAAAGGAACTTCACAGTTGTCCCAAGAAAAAATAAAGTAAAAAAGAAATGTAAATAGGGCTGTTACAACATTCACAAATCACAATTGGATTTAAGACATTACAATTATTGGCATTAAAGGGAGTAACACTTGCATTGCCCCTTCAGCCAAAATTAAATTGAAAGAAACATATTTAGTTTTCATTGCCACGTATAACTTTTGTCTGTTTAATTCAAATTTTTACAAGAGATTGAGGAATATTTGAAAATCAGGGCTACCGTAATTCCTTCAACCAAACTAATATGAATTTCTGTTGGTCTCTTAAGGTGGAGAGGGGCTATATTGCGACACAACTTTTTCAATTTGAAGAAAATAAATGAATCTATTCACTTTTTTACTTCTTCAAACACAGATTCATTAATTTGCTCTAAACAAAAGAAAAGGAAAGGTTACAATGCCAAAGAAATTAACCTTGAAATCTCATCAATATTTGGTAGAGTGTGCAAAGTGAACTGGTACGTGGTAGCGCACTGTTCATAATTTTAAAAATGATACATGAGTAGCTATTACTGAAGAATTCATGTACATTATATCATGTCAATGTGTGTGCTAATGTTAATCCCGACTACTCTCTAGAGTCTAGATCAACATTTCCAGCTCAAAGTATTTCTATAATAAGTACTAACCGGGTTTCCCTTCTTTATTTTGTCAATTTGGTACTGGACTAGACCTACTAGAACTACTGGTATAATTTTATTTTTTTATTAATTTAAGGCAATAGGGTCTACCGGTATACAAATAGGCTAGAGACTAGAGTGTTTTCCTTGGCTTAATTTGCCTTTGGATTGGTGATGGATCAAGCATTTTCTTTCCAAACAATAAATGATAATCAATTGATCATATTGCAATTGGAAAAGTGTCAGAATCTTTAGCCTCAGTCAGGACTCGGGTTAATAAAAGAGGCAGAATAAAAAATAGGTGATAATTTGATCTAGGCCTAGAATAGATCTACATAGTTTTACTTCAGTGTTTACTTTAGTTACTATATAGCTAGTTTAGACCTATTAGAGTCTAGGCTAGTATAGAACTTAAAGGGCAAGTCCACTCCAAAAATAAATTAATTTCAATAGAACTGAAAAAACAGAGAAACCAGTCAAAAAAAAGTTTGAGCAAAATCGGATAACTAATAATAAAGCAATGAATTTTTATTTTTAAACGACATGAAAAACTTTGAAAATCACTAGACGAATTGGAAACTCACTCATGAGTCTGTGACGTCATTGCCTCACTATCCACTTATTGTTTCCTTCATATTGATAATATTAATTTCCATAATTTCCCCTAAAAGTAAAAATCATATTTTCTCACACCATCATTCTAGTTATAATAGTAATAGGCCCTATGGTATCGCTTGGATGCATTAATATAGAGTTTTTTTTTTTTTAATTCTGTTAAATCATGAAAAATGTGAATTTTGATAAACTACATGTACATGATATAGGCCTAGGCCCTATATCAAAAACATTGATTTTAAATATACAATATTCAGAAAATAGTACCAAATCTTAAAAGTTCATAAAAGATTTTGTGAAATGTCATGCACGCTATATTATTAGATCTAGACTAGACCTACACTGTATACAAATCATATACCTGAGCAAAGGCATGGCGAAATCAAGTTTTGGGGGATAAAAAGGGAAATTAATAGGATACAAATATATAAAGCAATTAGTGAGGCATTGACGGCATAAACTGATACCCAAATTGGCAATTTGTGTAGTGATTTTAGTTCCACAGTTTTTCATACTTTAAAAAAAAAATCATAACTTACTAGAAATCTATTCCTTATCGGTTTTTTAGTTTAATATCCGATTTTACTCAATTTTTTTTAAACTTTACTTTACTTTACTTTAATACACGGTGGTGAACAGGTATTAGGTCTAAGCCTGTTCATCGATCCACGATTCTTCCATGGTTACTGCTATTTGTGGAGGGAGGAGGCTGTGTAATAACATAAGACAACAGACAACACCTAGACTAGAGTCTAGACCGGCTCATACAGAAGGCTTGCATTCTTTGACCAGTGACTATCAAGTCTATTCTTAAATGAGTTGACCGACCCAGCTGCCACGTTTTCTGGGAGACCGATCCACAGCTCCTTGCTAAAAAAGTATTTTCTTATCGACTATTGATCTAGCCTTGCATATTTCTTTTCCAGTTTTCTAGAGTGACCTCGTTTTGCTCGGTTTCTCTTGTTTTTCTGCATCTAGACTCAAGGCCTATTAAACGTAAAAATTATTTTTGGAGTAGACTCAGTGTCTTAGACTTAGTCTTTAACTTAGTTCTATCTATACGAGTGTAGGCCTATATTAGTATAGATACATCACAGAGCACCCTCTCAAAACCATGCATGATGCAGTCCTGGGGCAGTATTCTGAACATTGTTGTAAGTTTTGTGTTATCTTTTGTTGTATCTTCAAGAGATAACACAGCGCTAATATAGTTGTAAGTTGGTATTCTGAACATTGTTTTATCCCTATGTTATCTCTTGAAGGACCGCCTCTATCTTATCTTTGACCATTGATGACACGCCCATTTTTATGGACCCTACCAATCAAAATCTATTTTAAATAAGCATGATAAGTAGGTCAACCAATAGGAATACTTTATGCCATATCTGAAGATGCGCCTAGCGCATACTAATCTTGGGCGTAATTAGTTATTTGAGCACTTATTACGCGCGTCATCATTATGCGCTGTTGAATGTGGATCATGAAGACAAATCACGCTTTTACTATATTGGTTAAGATGAGAGCATTAAAGTCGTCATATCCTAGCATGTAATATCTTAGAAAGTTCTCATCTGTGATGTTTACGGTCAACACACAATCTTCTTCTAACTCGTCTATTGGCACGAAAGATACAACAACCCCCTACCTGTTGTAAATATTGTTGTAAATACCATGCAAGATAAGATGATTAAGATAAAAGATACAACAACTTTCAGAATACCAATTATCTCGACATATTATCTCCCGTGCGCATATGCAAATGAGGATTTAAATGCCACTTTATTAATAACATGCACATTACAAGCGCACCAAAGTATGAGCGCAGGCGCGGCCAATAAGATGAGAGAAAAGATACAACAAAAGATAACACAAAAGTTACAACAATGTTCAGAATACCAACTTTATCTTATCTTAAAAGATACAACAATATTAGAAATAATACCGCCCCTGGGCCACTTTTCATTTATAATTAACTAAGCCTGCCCTTACTGTAGTGGTAGTGTTAGGCCTTACTCCCTTAGCCTAGTCTAGATATTAGTTACCAGATCTAGATAGAGTCTAGTAGTATAGACCTAGGGAATTATACTCTAGCATACTATATGCCTGTAGAGGTCTACTTAACATGCTCTAGGCTAGTAGTAGTCCTACTCCTAACTAATCTTAGTTAGGAGGCTAGGCATAGAGTTCTTAGAAAATACAGATTTTCTACGTACCTGGCCTACATCTGCACCACTCTCTGTAGACTGTACTTGACTAAAGTTGGTTGGAACTGAGTTGCCTGCAACTAGTACTAGCTGATTATGATAAGCTGAGCTGAGTGCAGTGGAAGCCTGTAGATTTCAGCTCTAGATTGCTAGAAGAAGGCCTTGAATAAGTTAGAGTTGCAGTAGTAGCTAATACCAATCGATGAATCTCACAAAAGAACTAGAGCCAGAAACAATGGAAAAGGGTCAGCTGCTTTTGTTTTCAAAACATGAGCCTCTTCAGCGCGTGATGCTTGAGTGATTACTGTACGAACGAACCAACTTCAAGATTACTACAGTACACACACGAACACGTACGTTATACACACATACATTAGGTGGCGCGATCGTTGGCTATTCACTCCATGTTTAGTTACCTGTCTTCACGGGCTCTAATTTAAGACGTAGTCCTATAATGCCCACCTTCTTTCATTCAAAATCCACTGCATGTGATATCGCTTCATTATTTGCAGATATCAATCCTAACATGGAATGCAGACAGCTTTGCTGTCTGCTTAATACTTAAGTCTTACATGTAATCAATAATGTCATACATGTTCTTAATAGTCATATTTGTTGTACTTCGCTGAGAAAAATGCATCAAATTGACCTTTGAAGGCGTTGATCGATGCTGCTTCTACTGCCGACTTGGGGAGCATGTTCCAGTGGTCAACTACTCTGTGCGTAAAGCTGTTCTTTCTGATGTTCAGACGGGCATGTTGCTTCTGAATTTTCATACTATGGCCTCTTAGGTTTATGCTTGCTTCCTTCATAGAAAATAGGCTATCTCTGTCCACGTCGTTGTGACCATTCATTATCTTGAATACCTGGATCATGTCACCTCGAAGACGTCTGTAGGCTAATGTTGGTAGGTCAAGTCTCTCCAGCCGGGTCACGTATGGGAGATCTTTAATGCTTGGGACCATTTTTGTTGCCCTTCTCTGCACTTTCTCCAGCTTTGTGATGTCTTGTCTGAGGAACGGATTCCACACACAATTTGCATATTCCAGGTGGGGTCTGACTAATGTTTTGTGCAGTAGACAAAACATATCTTCATCCATATGTGCAAAAGTCCTCCTTATTAGACCCACTATCCTGTTTGCTTTGTTGGCCACCTTCCCGACATGCTTGCTGAACTTCAGTGTTGGGTCGAATGTGACACCAAGATCCTTCTCCTCCTTCCTTACTTCCATGTTAGCCCTTGTTGTCCCATCTCTCATACTGTATGGTCTGGTTTCATCTTGATTCCCATAATGCATTACACCGCATTTACCAACATTGAACTTTAACTGCCATTTCTCTGCCCAGTCACATAAGCTGTCTAAGTCTTGTTGCATGGTTTTCCTGTCTTCTTGTGACTTAATATGGGTGTACACCTTGGTGTCGTCCGCAAACATTTCTGCATGTCCTTTCAAGTTGTCCGGCAGGTCATTGATATAGGTGATAAAAAGAATCGGGCCGAGAACACTGCCTTGCGGGATACCGCTCAACACATCCGCCCAGGACGACTTCTTCCCATTCACCGCCACACACTGTCTTCTCTCTTTCAGGAAGCTTTCTATCCAGTTCAATAGTTTTCCATGGATTCCATGTGCCTTCATTTTCTTGATCAGTCGTTGATGTGGTACTGAATCAAACGCTTTGCTGAAGTCTAGATAGGCCACATCAACACCGCCTCCTTCATCTAGCATACTTGTCCATGAATCCAGGACACTGATGAGCTGTGTCGCACATGATCTACCTGAACGAAATCCATGTTGGTGGTCGGTCAAAATCTTCTTCTCATCCATGAAGCTCATGATATGGTCTCGAAGTATTGATTCCATGATCTTGCAAATCACGGATGTCAGACTAACCGGTCGGTAATTTCCGGGTGATGTAGCCTTTCCTTTCTTATAAATGGCTGTCACATTCGCTTCCTTCCATCCATCAGGTACACGTCCTTCTTGAATTGACTTGTTGAAGATTACCGCTAGTGGTTCAGCTAAGACTTCTGCTGCTTCTTTTAAGACCCTAGGATGAAGCCCGTCTGGTCCTGGTGATTTGGATGGGTTCAGTTTTTTTAACTTCTTCAAAACTTCCTCAGTTGTAATGACTACTTCTTCAAGTGGGTCCCCATCAAATTTCACCTCTGGCTCTGGGATAGTTGTGACATCTTCTCGAGTAAACACACTCGCAAAGAACTCATTCAGAACTTCAGCCTTCTCTTCGTCACTTGTAGTTTTACTTCCATCTTCTTTAATGAGATCACTAATGCCGCTCTTCACCTTTGTTTTAGACCTGACGTAGTTCCAGAATCCCTTGGGATTCTCTTTGATTTCTTGTGCTAGTCTTCTTTCAAACTTTATCTTAGCTGATCTTACATCTTTTGTAGCCTCGTTTCTGAGCTTAATGTAAGCTTCATAATCTCTGAAGTGCTTTGTTGCAGTGTATCTCTTCCAAGCATGGTATTTTTTCTTGACTTTGGCCAATGCTTTTTTGCACATCCATAGTGGCTTGTTCTTCTTTGTCCCTACTTTAGTACGGCAGGGCTTAGATTTTGGAATATTCTTCTCCATCGTTTCCTGTACTCTGTTTGCAAAAGACTCCCATGCTTCACTTAATTCCAAGTCTTGAAGTTCAGTCCATTTTATTTCCTTTAGGTCGTTATTCAAACTTACATAATCTCCTTTGGCGTATAAAAACCTGGTTGGTTGATCATCGGTGGTAGAACTGTGGCAATATAGCTCAAACTGCATGACAATGTGGTCACTTTTCCCAAGTGGGCTTTGCTCTGCAATATCGTCTACTAGCTGCTCTTCATTCACTATCAGCAGATCCAAAAGACTGGGCTGCTGACCATCTCTATACCTCGTATTGAATCTCACTTCTTGAAACAAGTAGTTATCTTGTAGACAGTCCAGCAATTTGTTACTTGAGTGGGTAGCGCCCGCTGATGACGTCCATGAGTCCCAGTCCACCTCTGGAAAGTTGAAATCGCCCATTATCAATAGGTGTGTGAACTTCTTAGCACAGGCTGCATTAATGAGGCTCGTCAGATGAGCATTATTCTCTTCTGATGAGCTTGGGCTTCTGTACACGCAACCAATCAACAGGTTATCTTTGTCTGATAATCTGGTCTCACACCAGGTGCTTTCCTTGAAATTCATATCAGTGAGGTCATCGACCTGAATGGCTTTCAGCCATTTCTTTGTGTAGATACATACACCTCTGCCTTGTCCCCCAAAACAGCAATCAAATCCTTCCAGTGACAGCTCTGCCTTCTGAATGTCTCTGCCTTTATACTTTGGTAGTACCTCTGTAACTGCGATAATGTCAGGCTCGTTGAGTTCGATTGCGGCTACAAATTCATCCCTTTTGTTCATGAGGCTGTCAGCGTTTGCATTGTTCTCACCAGCTAGCCAGGGCGGATCGTGAGAAAGTATAGTTGTGTAATGATATGGATATTCTCGTGTTTACGTTTTCCTCAAAGGTTCATTGACGTACATGTACAAGGCAAATTCCTGGTAGATTTCGCTAGAACTATGTTTACAAACATACATGGTGAATTCCTTGTATGCTATTTTTAACACCTGTTCCGAGACGTTGCGCTCTTAATTTTGGCTCTACTTTTTCGGCTTGGCCGATTGGATTAGGTGTCGCCACAGTTGACTTAAATTTAATTAGGCAAATTTAGGAAATAGATTTGTATTACAATTGGAAGGGTTTTTCCTTGTTGCCGGGTCTGTTCACACTATCGAAATAGTATGAGAGGGGAAGTGAGGATTACAGGTGTGTAATAGCCAGAAGCATGTGGGCTCGCTAGTGTGGACGGACATAGCAACATTTATCCCTTGTTATATTCCAGGGTTGTTGGGTCTCCGGGTGATTTGCATCTCTTGTTTGAGAGATTAGAATGTAAGAGACACAGGTGGGTGCGTGAAAGAAGTATGTGAGGAATAGAGATGCGGATCATCCGGAGCGCCTTATATCCGAGGGGGTAAATTCGCCAAGAAATATAGGACCTTTTAATACGGAAACTAATTATAAGTGGATTGATATTACGCAAAGCGTCTGTGTGACACGCCTCAATTTTTGGAAGGACGAGGCGTGTCAGTTCGGGGGGATAAAAACCGAGTTGCGTCTCTGGAGCGGGACCTCTTTTCCGTTACGATCGACATGAGTTGCTAATTTGTTTCGATTGGGTTGCCCAGCCCCAAAACATGAACTTCGTGATTTATTAATTCTTCGTTTATTTTAATAAATCTTCAACTCCAATCAAGAATTTGTTTCAGTGACTTTGATTTATCTTCGTTTTCTAAACTTCAAGAACTAAAGCTATACTTTAACATTTTCTGAGTCGGTACTAGGCGGGGCGGTTTTGGCCACCGGGCCGTCTCGCCGTGGATCGCTTCAGTTGTTAACTGTTGTTGTTGTTTTAAAGAATGTGTGAGTGTCCGAAAAAGGATTAGTGGTATTAAATTAGCCTATGAATGATTAAATAAAACACTTTCGGTACAGTGCTACCAATTGAATTTAAACTAATTAAATGATAATTGATAGGTAAAACATCAATATTAATTTAATATAGGACGATCGATCTACTGCAAAGACTATTAAATATCTCGATCTATATAATATAAATATATTATGCATGCATGGGCGGCAGGGCAGGGGGTACAGCTTTGACAAAATATCAACAACATCAAAATATTAAAAATTGTCGTGGTGCATATAACAATAAATCTCAGTTTTCCTCCATCAAAGTATTTATTTTTCTTTTCCTTTTGTCTAATTCTTATAATTCTTCTCTCTAATTCATCGTTCTTAAATTTGTCTTCTTTAATTTACAGACACAGTTCTCCTGTCTCCATTCGCATGTACAGTATCTTAATTAGCTAATACATCTTCTTCTTCTTCTGCTGCTGCTTCTTCCTTTTGGCAGTGATACATAATTTGGGAAATACTTCTATACATTGTTAGCCATATAGCTGGACGGCGGCGTGGTTCTTTCTCAATTAATTAAGATCTACTTTTTTTTTTTTGGTTAAAATATTAACTGTGGTCGACTCGTACTCGTTCACATCCAGAGCTGTTTACTGTAAGAAATTCACAATAAATTAAAGCACGGAGTAGCTATATTAGTAGATCCCTAATTATGGTAGCATAATCTGTCATTGTTTTTATAACTAAATGGGTTCGGGACTTGAGAGCTCGGGCACAAAACAAAATTTGGACACTTGCTGACTGGAACCAATTTAATGGTCCATTCCGAAATTAA